GGCAGATTGTGAAGTCAGGAGTTCAAGACTAGCCTGGCCAACATAGTGAAACCCCGTCTCTACTTAAAATACGAAAAAAGTAGCCAGGCATGGCGGTGCATGCCTGTAGTCCCAGCTTACTCTGGAGGCTGAGGCAGGAGAATTGGTTGAACCTGGGAGGTGGAAGTTGCAGTGAGTTATTATTGCACCACTGCACTCTATCTTGGGCAACAGAGTGAGGCTTCATCTCAAAAAATTAAATAGAGCTCTGGAATCTATTCTAGGCTGGTGGCAGATCTAAATGTGAAAATAAGCAGTGAGGCCAGGCACAGGCAGGCAACAGTTGCTCACGCCTGTAATCCTAGCACTTTGGGAGGCCGAGGTGGGCAGATCACTTGAGGTCAGGAGTTCAAGACCAGCCTGGCCAATATGGTGCAACCCCATCTCTACTAAAAATACAAAAATTAGCTGGGCATGGTAGCAGGAGCCTGTAATCCCAGCTACTTGGGAGGCTGAGGCAGGAGAATCGCTTGAATCCAGGAGGTAGAGGTTGCAGTGAGCTGAGATGGCACCACTGCATTCCAGCCTGGGTGACAGAGCGAGACTCCAACTTAAAAATAAAAAAAAAAAATTAAAAATAAAGCAATAGCTTCTAGATCTAAAAGATATTATAAGAACATCTTCATGTCCTATGAGAACAGAAATTTTATTAAGCCACAGAAGCCACTGAAATACCCCTACACGCATACTATTTACAAAGGAAAAGATAAGTTTGGCTACATTAACACAGAACTTTTCGGCTGGGCACAGTGGCTCACACCTGTAATCCCAACACTTTGGGAGGCCAAGGCGGGCAGATCAAGAGGTCAAGAGATCAAGACCATCCTGGTCAACATGGTGAAACCCTGTCTCTACTAAAAATACAAAAATTAGCCAGGCCTTGTGCAGGCGACTGTAATCCCAGTTTCTCGGGAGGCTGAGGCAGGAAGAATCGCTTGAGCCTGGAAGGTGGAGGTTGCAGTCGGCAGAGATTGTGCCATTGCACTCCAGCCTAGGTGACAGAGCGAGACTCTGTCTCAAAAAAAAAAAAAAAAACAACAAAAAAACTTTGAGAACTTTTCATCATATGACACCATTAAGATTGAAAAGGAAGGCTGAGAAAACTGAGAACTTTTCATCATATGACACCATTAAGATTGAAAAGGAAGGGAGGCTGAGGCGGAAGAAACACTTGAACCCGGGAGGCAGAGGTTGCAGTGAGCAGAGATCACACCATTGCACTCCAGCCTGGGCAACAAGAGCAAGACTCTGTCTCAAAAAAAAAAAAGAAAAGGGAAGCTACCAAGTGAGAAAGGATGCTTGTGATACTGTATCTAACATAGGACTCATCCCAAATACATATGGAACTGCTCTAAAACAAAGACAGTCCAACATAAAAATGGGCACAAAACTTGAACAGGCACCTCGTAAAAAGAGATATCCAAATAGCTGATAAACATGATAAAAGGCTAGGCCAGGTGCAGTGGCTCACACCTGTAATCCTAGTGCTTTGGGAGACCAAGACAGGAGGATTATTTGAGGCCAGGAGTTCAAGACCAGCCTGGGCAACAGAGACTCTGTCTCTATAAAAAAATTTTAAAATTAGCCAGATGTAGCAGTGCACACCTGTGGTCCCAGCTACACGGGAGGCCAAAGCAGGAGGATTGCTTAAGCCCAGGAATTCCAGGTTACAGTGAGCTGTGGACATGCCACTGCACTCCAGCCCGGAGTTACAGAGTGAGACCCTTGTCTGTATTTAAAAAACTAAATTAAAAAAAAAAAAAAAACACATGATTAAAAGCCTAAATATTATTAGTCATCAGAGCATCAGAGAGATGCAAATTAAAACCAAACTGAAATACCACTACACACATACCAGAAGAGTTAAAACGTAAAAGACTGACAAATCCCAGGGGTTGATGAGGACGGGAGCCGCTGGAACTCCCATTCACTGCTGGTGGGAGTTCAAAATGACGCAACCGCTTTGGAATGTAGTTCGGCAGCATCTTGTTGACTTTTAATGTTAACATACTCACAACTTATGCTTAGAATAACCTTTTTTCACCACTCTCTCAACCACCTCTGAATGATTCTAAGAAATATTTTCATATCTCTTAAATCAGGATGCAGTTGCACTTAACATTTCAGATTTGCAGGAGCTACCTCTCCTTCGTGGCGCTTTAGAATAGTTTGCAGCTACATTATCTGCTAAATGTCTGTCTCCCATGTTGGACTGCTAGCTCCAGGAAAACAGACCCTTCCTTCTTCATGATTATGAATCCTAAAACTAGAATTTCCGGGTCAAAAGTCATGCATATTTTCTGTTATTTTAAAAATTCACAATACATCCTATTTTAAAATTCAGCAATGCATTGCACAAACCCTCCTCATCACCTTCTGTCCCCAAAGGCAGCCACTATCAGCAATTTGGAATAAATCTTTCAGACTCTGTTTTTTGCATGCCTGTGTCCATAGTTATATGTCCATGCATACATGACAGGAACATTAATATGTATATAATTAATAAATATGCAAATCAATAGTGATAAGCAGTTAAAAGTGCAAAAATTTTAAATTCCTCTCACATATATACTCTTTTTTTTTTTTTTTTTTTTTTTTTGAGACAGGCTCTTGCTCTGTCACCCAGGCTGGAATGCAGTGGCATGATCACAGCTCACTGTAGCCTCGACATCAGGCTCAAGCAATCCTCCCACTCTAGTCTCCCAAGTAGCTGGGACTACAGGCCCATGCCACAATGCCTGGCTTTGTTTTGTAGAGATGATCTCGCCATGTTGCCCAGGCTGGTCTCAAACTCCTGGACTCAAGCACTGCTCCCACCTTGGCCTCCCAAAGTGCTAGGATTATAGGTGTGAGCCACCATGCCTGGCCCATACATACATTAGTAACAGATATCATCAGCCTCTTTTCTACAAAGATTATGGCAATACATACCCACCAGTAATAAATATGAGACAGTGAGCAGTCCCTCTGCAACTCTAGATGTGTTTGACTTTTCTAATTCTTTCACAATCCAGTGGGTAAAAATCATATCTCATGACTTAAATCTGCATGTTCCTGAAATATAGGACTCAAATAAATCAATCTTTCCCTCTATGGTTTTCTAGATTTTAAAAGGCCTCCCATTTCCATACCCCAGCACCCTGAAGTTATACAAATATTTTCCTAAGCTTTCTTCTATTACAATTAGAGCTTCATTTTATACTTAGCTCTTTAATCCATATTGAATTTATTTTTGCATAATTATTTTTTTAGAATGTTAGAATAATTATTTTTTCCAACCAGACAGCAACTCTTATTAGGAACCTTCTTTTACTCAGTTAAAATGCCATTTTTAGTAAGTGCTAACTTTCCACATATACTTGTAATGTTTTCTAGATTTTCAATAATTTTTCACTGATTTAACTCTGTGGCAATTTTCAATAATTTTTCACTGATTTAACTCTGTGGCAGTGCCACGCCATTTTGATTATAGCTTTATGGTAAGTTTTAATATCTGGTGAAGAAAGTCCCCTCTCATTCAACTTAAAAAAAAAAAAAAAAGATTAGCAATCTTTGCATATTTTTCCTCCCAAATTAATTTTAAAATAGTTTTTGTCATTTATTTAAAGCTGGGTTTTCCTACCAGAATTGTATTAAATCTATCTAAAAATATCTATGAAAAAACATATTTGTATCTTACATCTTCTACCCGGATATTTTGTTCAGTTTTTTGTTTGTTTGTTTTTTGGTCTTTTTTATTTATTTATTTTATTTATTTTTTTGAGATGGAGTCTCACTCAGTCACCCAGGCTGGAGTGCAGTGGCTCGATCTCAGCTTACTGCAACCTCTGCCTCCAAAGTTCAAGTGATTCTCCTGCCTCAGCCTCCCAAGTAGCTGGGATTACAGGTGAGCACCGCCATGCTTGGCTAATTTTTGTATTCTCAGTGGAGATGAGGTTTGGTCATGTTGGTCAGGCCAGTCTCAAACTCCTGACCTCAGGTGATCTGCCCCACTCAGCCTCCCAAAGTGCTGGGATTACAGGCATGAGCCACTGCACCTGGCCTTTTGGTAATTTTTAAAAATAATTTTCTTAATTTGGTGTCCAGATCTTTTGTTAAATTATTCCTAAATTTTACTATTGTCATCACTAAGTTGAATTTTAAATTTTTCCAAGTGTACCTGGTTATTACTATTGCTTTTGTGTATTTATTGTGTATCCAACCACTTTACTGAGTTATCTCTCTTACTAGTTCCATGTTTTTTTAATTGACTCTTGGTTAGTCTAGCTAGGTAATAATTTTCTCTTCTAGTTTTCTTACTAAAAATTTCACTTTATTTTTTGCGTTAGCTGGAACTTCACAACAATGTCAAATAGAGACACCGGGGGCATCCATGTCATGATCCTGGTTTCAATGTCTTTTAGTAGTTTTGTTAATTTCCTACTTACTTAGCTATTGGTTTGAGTACCAGCTTTGGCGTCACTGGGAAGCTTATTAGATGCAGAACCTCCGGCCCTGCTTACTGAACCAAAATCCAGTCTCCAGGGTGCTCATCACGTATTTCCTCATGCCTGCCTCTCCAGCTTTCTGGAGGAAGGACTGGGCTGGGCTGGGCCACTCTCCTGTTTCAGCCCCTGGCGCCAGAGTTGTAAGCAGCACACCGTGGCTGCTCTGAAACCAAACGATTTAGCTTGAGCTGTCAATCTTGTATGGCTCAGCTGGGGGTCCCCTTCCTCTTCTCTCTCTGCAATGGTTTTTTGTTTGTTTGTTTTTGAGGCGGAGTCTCACTCTGTCACCCAGGCTGGAGTGCAGTGGCACAATCTCAGCTCACTGCAACCTCCGCCTCCCAGGTTCAAGCAATTCTCCTGCCTCAGCCTCCCGAGTAGCTAGGATTACAGGTGCCTGCCACCATGCTCGGCTAATTTTTGTATTTTTAGTAGAGGCAGGGCTTCACCATGTTGATCAGGCTGGTCTTGAACTCCTGACCTCGGATGATCCACCCGCCTTGGCCTCCCAAAGTTCTGAGATTACAGGCGTGAGCCACCTCGCCCAGCATCTGCAGTGGTTTTGAATCTTGTTAAAATGCAGGGTAATTCTTGGGACCATGGCTAATGGGACTGGGGTACCAGGCATCTGATGCCAGGGCCATAGGTACAGCTCTACAGGCTGGTGGAGGGATCTTGGTTCAAGTGCTCCCCAATCAGGTAGCCCTCGTCAAACGAGGACCCAGCTGATCTTCTATCATTTGGTGGTTCTTGCCAGCACTGCCTCTATGCCAATAGCATCTCAGAGAGGGGTGGGTAGGGTGTCCTGGAGCCCAGCTGTGGACAGATGTTGCCGTGGGCCCTGGAAGAGAGCCAGGAAGTGTCCCCAAAGTAGCAATGTGAAACTCTGCACGGGGTGTCGCTTTCTGTTGATTGACCAGACACTGTGGCCCTGGTTTCTGGATGTAGGGTCAGCATGAGGGACCCTGTCTCCTGGGACGGGGAAGAGATAGAGGAACAACCAGCCAGGAGCCACCATACTCCACTCTCCCACAGGGAAAGGTAATACTGGCAGCCCGATCACCTAAGCTGGGCTGGAGGTTAGGCAGGGGGTGGAAGCTGCAGTGAGTGTCCTTCCAGATGGCTCTGAAGACAGTGAAGGCTTTGGTCCCTACAGTGGCCTCCCAAGGGCACAGATGAAGGCAAGAGGAGTCCCACGAAGGCCTTGAGAGGAGGCACCTAGGAAATGGGCCTCTGGTGGGCTCCTGTCCCATGGCTGGGGCCAGGCTCTGGAGACACCTTGGGTTAGGACACTGACTGAGGCTCCAGTGGGCCACCTGTGGGGGCTGAGGAGGCTGAGGCCTGGCCACAAGTCAGTTGAGGGTTGCCAAGCCTGCCCTCTTCTGGCCCCCGGATTCCCTCTGCAGGCGAGAGCTGGCCACTGGCAGAGAAAGGGTCTGGCCCAGCCAGTTATCCCTGCGCATCCCGGCATCCAGCATCCCCACAGGAGCCACAGCCTCAGGGAAGGTAGAGAGCCACCACCACGTAGATGACCCAGCTGGTGGACACGAAGACCCCGAAGAGCAGGCTGAAGAGCACCAGTGAGCGGGCCTTCCGCGAGGCCTCCTCGGCCTGGGCCAGGTCGCCCCTGCCCAGGGCTGCACGGGTCTGCAATGAGACAGGGCGGAAGGGGGTGGTGGGAGCGAACAGGGAGCCCTGACTCCCTCCCAGTGCGACTGAGGGCCAGGCCCAATTCCACAAACTTGAGAAACTGACACACTGAAAAGGTCAGGGACCTGCCAGGCCCACAGCTCAAAAGGGGGCAAGAGTGAAGGCAGTGGCGGCTGCCAGCCATCGGGTGCTTGTCACGCTCAGCACTGACAGATGCCCTCAGCTTCAACCTCTACCATCCTTGCAGCAGCCCTGAGGCTGACCCCACTTTGCAGATGTGGAAACAAAGGCTCAGAGAAGTTAAGTGACCTACCCAGGGGCACACCACTAACGGTGGAGCCAGAATTCACCAGCAGGCAGCAGCCTCTCTCAAGTCCCACCTCTGAGTTGTCCTGCGAGCTGCCTTCTGCTTATGGCTGGGGGCTTGAACAGCAGAGCGAAGCCAGGGCTGAGACCAGGTCAGCCTTGAGCATAGGCCCCCAGAGGCTTGCCTGCTTTTGTTTGTTTGTTTGTTTGTTTGTTTGTTTGTTTATGACGCAGTCTCGCTCTGTCGCCCAAGCTGGAGTGCAGTGGCCTGATCTCAGCTCACTGCAAGCTCCACCTCCCGGGTTTACGCCATTCTCCTGCCTCAGTCTCCCATGTAGCTGGGACTACAGCGCCACCTCGCCCGGCTAGTTTTTTGTATTTTTTTAGTAGAGACAGGGTTTCACCGGGTTAGCCAGGATGGTCTCAATCTCCTGACCTCGTGATCTGCCCATCTCGGCCTCCCAAAGTGCTGGGATTACAGGCTTGAGCCACTGCGCCCGGCCTTGTTTGTTTCTTAAGACAGTCTTGCTCCATCTTCCAGACTGGAGTGCAGTGGTGCGATCTCAGCTCACTGCAACCTCCACCTCCTGGGTTCGAGTGATTCTCCTGTCTCAGCCTCCTGAGTAGCTGGGACTACAGGTGCCCACCCCCATGCCCGGCTAATTTTTGTATTTTTACTAGAGATGGGGTTTCACTGTATTGGTCAAGCTGATCTCGAACTCCTGACCTCAGGTGATCCACCCACCTCGGCCTCCCAAAATGCTGGGACTAGAGTTGTGAGCCACCGCACCTAGCCCTGCTTCTGTCTCTATTAGAGTGTCATCACATTGGCATCTTTGAATTTCCAGGGCCTAATAAATAGATGAATGGATAGAGGGATGGGTGGGTGGATGGATAGATGGATGGATGGATGGGTGGAGACTAGAGAGATGATGGGTGATAAGTGGATGTATGGATGAGTAGATGGATGGATGAATGGAGGGATGGATGGATGGATGGAGACTAGAGAGATGATGGGTGATAAGTGGGTGTATGGATGAGTAGATGGATGGATGAATGGAGGGATGGGTGGATGGGTAGGGATTGGTGGGTGGGTGAGTAGGCCGATGGATGAATGGTGGGGTGAGTGGATGGAAGATGGCAGATGGATGACGGATGGATGATAGATGGATGGAGGCTAGAGAGATGGTGGATGGGCCAGGCGCGGTGGCTCACACCCAACACTTTGGGAGGCCGAGGTGGGTGGATCACCTGAGGTCAGGAGTTCAAGACCAGCCTGGCCAACATGGCAAAACCCCATCTCTACTAAAAATACAAAAAAATTAGCCAAGCATTGTGGCGGGCGCCTGTAATCCCAGCTACTTGGGAGGCTGAGGCAGGAGAATTGCTTGAACCCGAAGGGTGGAGGTTGCAGTGAGCCGAGATCACGCCATTGCACTCCAGTCTGGCAACAGAGCAAGACTCTGTCTCAAAAAAAAAAAAAAAAAAATGGCTGGGCGTTTTGGCTCACACCTATAATCCCAGCACTTTGGGAGGCCGAGGCGGGTGGATCACAAGGTCAGGAGATTGAGACCATCCTGGCTAACACGGTGAAACCCCGTCTCTACTAAAAATGCAAAAAAAAAAAAATAGCCGGGGGTGGTGGCGGGCGCCTGTAGTCCCAGCTACTGGGGAGGCTGAGGCAGGAGAATGGCATGAACCCAGGAGGCAGAGCTTGCAGTGAGCAAAGATGGCGCCACTGCACTCCAGCCTGGGCAACAGATGGTGGATGGGTGGGTGGATGGATAAATGGGTGGGTGAGTGGATGGGTGGCTAGGGAGACGGAGAGTTGGAGAGATGGAGTGGATGGATAGATTAGATGAGCATAGGAATGAATGAGCAGATTGTACCCCCTTTAAAACACAAGCCCCCACTGGAATGGGCAGCGTATCGGAACTTAGCAGTCATTCACACCTTTACTGTGAATTGTTTTGGCCAAACATTCCACAGCACATTTTGAGTAGTTGGGGGCAGAGACAGGAGGGGCAAGGACCCCACAAACAGTTAGGCTCTGACTTCCCAATTCCCACCCCCCTCCAGAGGGAGAGAGGCCAGAGACCGTGTTGCTGGAAAACGGGCTCTGTGGACCCACTGGGGCACCAGTGGCTGCGTGCTAGGAGAGGCTGTGCCCAGGGCCGCCCCCACACCTACCTCGTGGGAGTAGACGATGGCGATGAGGCCGGTGAGCAGACAGCAGAAAAGGGTCACCAGCACTGACTCCATCATATAGTCCTTTGGCAGGGGCCTGTGCTCGACCGTGACAGGGCCTGGCATGCCAGCCATCGGGCCATTGTACTGTGGGGGCAGAGTCACAGTGGTAAGGAACTGACCCAACCTCCGGACAGCAGAGTGAGTGAGAAGGCCAGCCAGGCCGTGCAGGTTCTCTCACTCAGTCCCCAAGTCCCCACCCGTTGAGGCTGCAATTCACGGAGGGGTTGGGTCAGGGTGTCCCTCTGCCCTCTCCCTCTTGCACTCCTGGCCACTGAGTCCCGCTGAGCCCTCAGTCCTGCCCTCTACAGTTGGCTCAGTCCAGGGTCCAGCCTCTGTGATATTTCATCGTCCTCACTGGGCTTGCCACCCCTCCCTGGGGAACCTCCAATCTTTCCCCCACAGGCAGCCCAGGATTTTTGTTTGGTTTTATTTTTATTTTTATTTTGGAGGCAGAGGCTTGCTCTATCACTCAACCCGGAGTGCAGTGGTGTGATCTCGGCTCACTGCAGCCTCGACCTCCCTGGCTCAAGCAATCCTCTTGCCTCAGCCTCATGAATAGCTGAGGCTACAGGCGTGCACCACCACGCCCAGGTAATTATTTTTACATTCAGTAGGGATGAGGGCTCACTGTGTTGCCTAGGCTGGTCTGGAACTCCTAAGCCCAAGCCATCTGCCCGTCTTGGCCTCCCAAAGTGCTGGGATTACACGTATGAGGCATCGCGCCCGGACTGTTTTGTTTTTAAAGCACATCTAATCAAATCACCTCCTACCCAAAGTTTCTGGGGTCCCTCACCACGGGTCCCACCTTCCTCCCCTCCCTACCAAGCCAAACAAGCCTCCACCATCCCCAGAACGCCCAGTCTCAGCCCCTCTACGCCTGTGCGGTGCCCTCTGCCCAGGGTGCCTGTCATTCTCTTTGCCTTAGCCCTCCTATTCATCCTCCAAAACCCCACTCAAATGCCCCCACCTCTAAGGAGCCTCCAGGACTTGCCCGCCCCCAGGCCAAGGTGGCGCTTCCTCCTCTGCAAGGACAGAAGTGACCTCTCGCCCTCCACACCAGCGCCCCCGACCACGCGCAGACAGCACGGAGGGGAGCGCGCCCAGGGCGGCCGCCACTCACCACGGGGAAGGGGAAGGCGGCCCCGGCGGGCGGCGGGAAGAGCGCGGGCGGCGTGGGCGCGGCCGGGTAGAGCTGAGCGGGCGGTGGGAAGAGCGCAGACGGCGCGGGCTGCAGGAGCACGGGCACCTGCGGGAAGGGCGGGTACAGCAGCGGCGCGGCCTTGGGGTCCGGGGGCGCGTAGGGCGGGGGCTCCCCAACGAAGCCGATGTGTGGGGCGCTGCTGGCCGCCGCCTTGGAAGCCGGACCGGCCTCGCCCGCCGCCTGGGCCAGGGCGTCCTCTGGTGCGGGCTCGCTGCCCCCCGCGGCCCCGTCCTCGCTGGGCGCCCCATCCTCGTCCAGGGGCCGCGGGCGGCGCGGGAGCTGCGGCAGCGCGGGCTGCGCGGAAATCTGGGGATCCTCGGGGGCGGCGGGCTTCGGGGGACTCCGGGGGTCCTCAGGGGTGGCGGGGCTGCCGCCCCCTTTCGTGTCGGACCCTAGAAAGAAATGGCAGCAGTGGTAAGCAAGAGGCCGCCAGGCTGGGTGAGACCTCCCTGGTCCCGAAGCTCCCACGAACCAAGCTCCCAGCCCTCTGCAGCCGGGCCTCATAGGATCTTGACCCAAAGGGACTAGAAAACAGGCCCAGAGGGGCCACCTGCCTTGCTAGGGTCACACAGACTGAACAGCTCATCTGGGTGGGAACCCAGGTTGCTGGCCCCGCCCCTCCCCGCGCTGCCCCGCCCCCTTTCCTTGGCAGATGGCCTCTATTGGGAGGTAGTTTCGCCCCCAACTAAGGCCTTTATGTCAAAGCTAATTGGACCAGAAAAGGAGACTCAGCCCAGGGAAGCCCCTGATTGGCTGTCCTGAGATACACTTCCAATGAAGGGGATGCCTACCTGAGATGAGCTGAACCAATTATATTCTTGGCTTGGAGTTGTAGGGGAGGGGTGAGATGCCCAGGAGCTGCCAAACTGTAGCTAGAGTAACATGGTGGAGCCAGGAGGTCACTAAGGGCCATACGCACACTGAGGCACCAAGAGAATGGACACCAGAATACACAGGGCCCAGCAGTTTGAAGCCAGGACTCAGAGCCTCAAAGCTGCCCAGCTGCCTTGCTGCCGACCCAGGCCCTGGCCTTCACCACCCAAAGATAGGCCCTGGTGGTGCCTGGTCAGGTCCCAACAAATTCTTAAGGTCCCCTGTACCTCCTGGGAGCATCCCGACCAGCTGAGCACCAGAGGGCCTCAGGCAAGTGTGCAAGGAAGGCCCTGGAAGAGGATCGCAGAGTGGACTCCCCTGACATAGGTGGGCATTCAGGCCTCACAGCAGAAGTGGGCAGCCCAGAGCCAGGGGTCTGGCTTTGGAAGTCCATTTCCTAAGTGTCCTTAAGGGTTATAGAAGGCAGAGGGATGAGTGAAACAGACGTCACACGGACATCTCAGTGGGGGTGGGAGGACCCTTCCTGAAGTCCCCCACGGGTAGAAGCAGGGATCCTTGCCAGAGTGATCCCAATGGCAGGGAATGCTGAGCCCCTGGGCGCGTCCTGCCTCAACCCCCTCCCAGCAGCCAGGGGCTCACTCATGGCCCCCGCACCCCATACACCTGCCATGCTGTTTATACCTCCACACCTTTATCTGTGATGTTCCCTGTTTCTCCACCCCTTGGATCTGGGCTTGGCCGTGTGACTTGCTTTGGACAATGGGGCATTGACAAACATTTTGTAAGCAGAAGTTTTCAAGAACTCTCTCTCCAGGTTAGCAGGGGCTGGGGCTGGGGAGTTAGTGTTTCATGGGTGTAGAGTTTCTGTTTGGGAAGATGGAAAAAGCGTTCCGGAGGTAAGATGCTGGTGATGCTTGCACAACAATCTGAGTGTACTTAATGCCACTGAATCGCATACTTACAAGTGGTTCAAATGATAAATTGTATGTTATACATATTTAGCACAATTTTTTAAAAGCCTATCTCTCCAGCTGATGACAGTCAAAAAGTCTAGACAAAATACAAAAAGGAACCATCTGAGGTCACTGAAAAGCAAACAAAAGCAGGCAGGTTGTGGAGTGGAGTCAAAGCTTAGAGAATGGCCGGGCGCGGTGGCTCACGCCTAGAATCCCAGCACTTTGGGAGGCGGGTGGATCATCTGAGCTCAGGAGTTCGAGACCACCCAGGACAACATAAAGAAACCCCGTCTCTGCTAAAAATATATATATATAAATTAACCAGGTGTGGGTAGCGCATGTCTCTAGTCCCAGCTACTCGGGAGGCTGAGGCAGGACAATTGCTCGAGCCCCAAAGGCGAAGGTTGCAGTGAGTCGAGATTGCACCGCTGCACTACAGCTTGGGCTACAGAGTGAGACTCCATCTCAAAAAAAAAAAAAAAAAAAAAAAACTTAGAGAAATGGGCCAGTCACGGTGGCTCCCAAGAGGCCAAAGCGGACAGATCACTTGAGGTCAGGAGTTTGAGACCAGCCTGGCCAATATGGTGAAACCCTGTCTCTATTAAAAATACAAAAAAAAATTAGCTGGGCGTGGTGGCACATGCCTGTAATCCCAGCTACTTAGGAGGCTGAGGCAGGAGAATTGCTGGAACCCAGGAGGCAGAGGTTGCAGTAAGCCGAGATCACGCCACTGCACTCCAGCCTAGTAAACATCTCAAAAAACAAAACAAAACAAAAAACGTAGAGAAATGGACTCCGAGGGGGTGAGTTTCCTGCTTTTCCCCTCTCATTGCCCTTGCAGCACAGAGCACCAGCACCAGACCCCCACTGGAACAGCAGAACAGGAGACTAAAAGTCCAGTAGAGACGCTGTCATTCTGACCAGACGGACCAGGAAAGGAAAAGGCTCCCCACTCTCTGCAGAGAAGATGGGGGCAGACCTAGAAGAGACAGAGCTGGAGAAAGGGGGTCCCCTGATTCTGTGTGTGACCTGGGGTGACCACCCTATCACTGTCTGCCCAGGACTTTCTCGGATTTACTACTGAGAGTCTCACATCCTGGGAAACTCCTTAGTCCCAAACAAACTGGGATGGTTGGACTCCCTAGAACGAATTCACCCAAGTCTCGGTCTCCCCCTGAACTGCATGTGCAGGAGACAGACCCAGAGCAGCCTAACAAAAACTCTGTAAACTGACCCGAGTTTGGAAATGCCACTCATAGAAGGTGAAACAGAACTTGTGGTCTGAAACGAACCAGGCTGATTGCCTGCTGAAACCAAACCAACCCACCTTCTCCGGGGAACTGTAACAGGACTAAGAATCTACACAACATACTTGTCAGGCCTCTGAACCTAAACTAAGCCATCATATCCTCAGTGACCTGCACTATACATCCAGATGGCCTGAAGCCGCTGAAGATCCACAGAAGTGAAAATAGCCTTAACTGATGACATTCCACCATTGTGGCTTCTGCCCCACCCTAACTGATCAATGTACTTTGTAATCTCCCCCACCCTTAAGAAGGTTCTTTTTTTTTTTTTTTGAGACGGAGTCTCGCTCTGTCACCCAGGCTGGAGTGCAGTGGCACAATCTCGGCTCACTGCAAGCTCCGCCTCCCGGGTTCACGCCATTCTCCTGCCTCAGCCTCCCAAGTAGCTGGCACTACAGGCGCCCGCCACCTCGCCTGGCTAGTTATTTGTATTTTTTAGTAGAGACGCGGTTTCACCATGTTAGCCAGGATGGTGTCAATCTCCTGACCTCGTGATCCGCCCATCTCAGCCTCCCAAAATGCTGGGATTACAGGCTTGAGCCACCGCGCCTGGCCAAGAAGGTTCTTCATAATTCTACCCACCCTTGACAATGTACTTTGTGAGATCCACCCCCTGCCCCCAAAACATTGCTCTTAACTCCACCGCCTAGCCCAAAACCTATAAGAACTAATGATAATCCATCACTCTTTGCTGACTCTCTTTTCGGACTCAGCCCACCTGCACCCGGGTGAAATAAACAACCTTGTTACTCACACAAAGCCTGTTTGGTGGTCTCTTCACACGGACACATGAAACAATACTATTCACAATGTCCAGGACACAATCCAAGATCGTTTGCCATACAAATGTGGAAACGTGACCAATGCTCAAAGGAAAAGACAGTCAGCAGATGCCAACCCTGAGAAGACCTGATATTGGAATGTCTAGAAAAAACAGCCATTATAACTGTGCTCCATGAGGTCAAGATAAACACACTTAGCCAGACGTTGCGGCCTCCTCACAGGAGGGTGCGGTGAGCTGTGATCGAACCACCGCACTCCAGCCAGGGCTACAGAGTGAGACCTTGTCCTCCCCAAAAGGGAGGCGTGGCATGTGACAAACTTTCTGTGCCTCCATTTCCTCATCTGTAAAGTGAAGATAAATCACAGTAATAACCTTTTTTTTTTTTTTTTTTTTTTTGAGACAGAGTCTCGATCTGTCGCCCAGGCTGGAATGCAGTGGTGTGATCTCGGCTCACTGCAAACTCTGCCTCCCGGGTTCACGCCATTCTCCTGCCTCAGTCTCCCGAGTAGCTGGGACTACAGGCGCCCACCACCATGCCCAGATAATTTTTTTTTTGTATATTTAGTAGAGATGGGGTTTCACAGTGTTAAACAGGATGGTCTAGATCTCCTGACCTCGTGATCCACAGGACTCGGCCATCCAAAATGCTGGGATTATAGGCGTGAGCCACTGCGCCCGGCTCCTGGGTGGTGCGGTTTTATAGGATTTGGGTAGGTAAAGGAAAATTACAGTCAAAGGGGGTTGTTCTCTGGTGGGGAGGGGTGGGGGTCACAAGGTGCTCAGTGGGGGAGCTTCTGAGCCAGGATGAGCCAGGAAAAGGAATTTCACAAGGTACTGTCATCAGTTAAGGCAGGAACAGACCATTTGCACTTCTTTCGTGGTGGAATGTCACCAGTTAAGGCAGGAATCAGCCATCTGGATGTGTACGTGCAGGTCACAGGGGATATGATGGCTTAGCTTTAGCTCAGAGGCCTGACATTCCTGTCTTCTTATATTAATAAGAAAAATAAAACAAAACAGGGTTGAAGTGTTGGGGCAGTGAAAATTTTTGGGGGGTGGTATGGAGAGAGAATGGGCGATGTTTCTCAGGGCTGCTTCAAGCGGGATTAGGGGCGACGTGGGAACCTAGAGTGGGAGAGATTAAGCTGAAGGAAGATTTTGTGGTAAGGGGCGATATTGTGGGGTTGTTAGAAGGAGCATTTATCGTATAGAATGATTGGTGATGGCCTGGATGTGGTCTTGTATGAATTGAAAAACTAAACGGAAGACACAAGGTCTGAATAAGAGAAGGAGAAAAACAGGTATTAAAGGACTAAGAATTGGGAGAACCCAGGACATCCAATTAGAGGGTGCCCAAGGAGGTTCAGCATAGCCCTGCCAGCAAAGATTGGAGATTGAGTTGAGCATAGTTTGTGATTTTGAGGGTCTCTAAAAGTATTAAAGCAGCAGCAGCCACTGCACGCAAACATGAGGGCTAGGCTAAAACAGTAAGGTCAAGTTGTTTGGACAGA